TTCCTTAAAAATACACTAAATGAGTTTCTTTTGCTAAAAAAATACACCAACTTTTTATACTTCCCGAAAAATACACAGAATAATTTTGGTTGTCCATAAAATACATGAACTTTTGAATTTTGAAGGTTTCACACCTCGATTTTAACGGCGTTAACTCTGATTAACAGAACATTTAGACGCCGTTAGATGACGTTAACTCTAATTCAAAAGTTCATGTATTTTGTGGACAACCAAAATTAGTCTCTGTATTTTTCGGGAAACCAAAAAAGTTCGTGTATTTTTTCAGCAAAGAAAATTTAGTATGTGTATTTTTAAGGAATTTTCAAAAATATACTAAGGTGGAAAAGACATTGATTTTTTTGTTTGACGGAAAAATGCAATTTTTGAATATATTTGTTCATATTGAGGACGGTTTTTCTAGGGTGAGTTTGGATCTATAATTAAAATACGTGTAAAATACTAGTAATTTTTGGATATGTATCATGCTCTGTTCGAAAACGCGGCCGTAGAAGCCGATTAAACGGCGCCAAAACGCTTGGCGGAGACTCGCTACGATTACACCATAATCGCTCAAAAAATCGGTTTCGCTGAAAGTTTCACTTTTTGGGAGATTTGAACGTTTTAGATGAAATATCAATGGCCAAACTAATTAATCTGACGAAAAAACCAACAAGATAACTCATAAATCTGATGATTTATGACTGACGGCAGAGACAAAAAAAAGTTACAGAAAACCTAAATCTGTAGTGAGGAAGATGATTCAGTATTTACATTACTGCCCCTCATGAAACAAAAACATAAAAAAAAAAAGAATTATAAGCACTTGATTGGATTCGAACACACGAATCAGACTAAAACCAAGGTAATTACCACCAGTAGGGGTGGGCGCAAGGTGAGTACTTGCTATTTTGCATGTACTCGCGACTTAACTTGCCTTGTACGAATAATAAATTTTTCGACTTGTACTTGACTTGTTTAAAACGAGTACTTACTATTTCGAGTACTTGATGAAAATTAAACGTCTTGCAAGTTACTTGCCTTGCTCTATTACTTACTATTTACGAGTACTTGTGCACTATTTACGAGCTTTTTCGAAATATTTAACAACTCCTAACTAAATAATATTCTGTTAGAAATAGACATGAAAATTTGTTTTGTTTATTTTAAAGTAACATGTAAATTACTTTAAATAGAATATTTGTTCATATTATAAAAAAAAAAAAAATTAAAAAATGCATATTATGGTATATAAACATTGTATAATGATCACGATAACAAGAATATCTTCTATAGATAAGTAACAAGTAATAACAAATCATATTACTAAATTTTTAATATTTGTTGCTTTGTAATACTTGACTAGATAACGACGAGTATTCAAAGATCAAGATTGGATACAAAATAAGTAACAAATATAAGAAGAGTAGTGTGTATTTATGTCTAGTCCTAAATGCAAGTAAAAGAAAAGACAAATATGAAAAACTAATTAATAGATTATATAACAAATAACAAGTAATGGAACAAGTAGCGGGGCGGAACGAGTCAAATACAAAATATAATAATGATACTTGATACTTGACTTAGTCTTGCAAGTAACGAAAATTGTCGCCTTGTTACTTGCCTTGACAACACCGAGTACTTGAATTTTTAAGGCGGGTACGAATCAAATACCGAGTTTAAGGCGAGTAACGAGTAATGATGCCCAGCTAACCACCAGACCACAACAACTCTATTAGTTTTGTATTGCAAATTAAATACCATATCTGGGAATTTATCAAAATTAAAAAAATAATAATTAAAACTATGTCCTGATTAATCCCCGATTAATCCCCGATTTTTTCGTCAAATCGCTAGGCCCACACCGACCGCCCGACTAGCGCCTAACGTAATTTCTAACATTGGTATCATGTAATAGAGAATGTGTTTTTGTTTGGGTCTTTGGGTCGGGTTTGGGCCGGTTCTTTTCGGATCTAAGATATCCGGATCTAAGAACCGGCCGAAACCCGACCTAAAGACCTGAACAAAAACACATTCTCTTCCACATGATACATATCAAAAAAATTACCAGTATTTTCCACATATTTTAATTGTAGATCCGAACTGATCCTAGAAAAAGTGGTCTCAATATGAACAAAATGAACAAAATATAAAGAAGCCAAAAAAACACATTATTCATATTAATACATACATTGTTCAGTTCTTTGAGTCGAGTTTGGGCCGGTTCTTAGATCCGGATATATTAGATCCGAAAAGAACCGGCCCAAACCCGACCCAAAGACCCAAACAAAAACACATTCTCTATTATATGATACATATCTGAAAATTACTGGTATTTTACACGTATTTTAAATATAGATCCAAACTGACTCTAGAAAAACCGGCCTCAATATAAACAAAATATATTCAAAAATTACATTTTTCAGTCAAACAAAAAAATCAATGTCTTTGCCACCTTAGTATATTTTTTGAAAATTCTTTAAAAATACACATACTAAATTTTCTTTGCTGAAAAAATACACGAACTTTTTTGGTTTCCCGAAAAATACACAGACTAATTTTGGTTGTCCACAAAATACATGAACTTTTGAATCAGAGTTAACGTTGTCAAACGGCGTCTAACGGCGTCTAAATGTTCTGTTAATTAGAGTTAACGCCGTTAAAATCGAGGTGTGAAACCTTCAAAATTCAAAAGTTCATGTATTTTGTAGACAACCAAAATTACTCTGTGTATTTTTTGGGAAGTCTAAAAAGTTGATGTATTTTTTTAGCAAAAGAAACTCAGTTGGTGTATTTTTAAGGAATTTTCCCTATTAATAGCGCCAAACAGTGTATTATATAGATGTAATCGTGTAGTGAATACACTAATTCATTTTTACGTTAAAAAGTAAATTGAGTGTTTAGTTACATATGATGTTAATAATTATCCAAACTTTTTAAAATAATATATAATTTTCTATAATTTTTGATCTTAACTTTTATTTTATAGGTTAGATCAAATTCAAACGTTTTTACTTTGAAAGCGTGCATACTATTTTATGATAAAAATTTTCATAAATAACTTAGCAAATATTTTGATAATTTGAAAGAATTTATGTATTTAACATGTTTTTGCATTTAAATCGTATTTTTGAATTCAACCCGAACCGCGGTTAAACCGGTGATCTAATAATTCAATTTTTATTTTTAAAAATATCCATATTTAAAAATCACTAAAACCCGAGACCAACCGATTGAACCGATGGAGAATTGATATGTAATATTTAAACTTGTAAAAATAAGTTTATTTTCGTTGTTTTATATATTATTGAATTTTTTAATTTATCTAAATAATTTGAAAAAAAAATTGTGAGAAAATTATTAAAAAGGATGAGATCTAATATTTTGTATTATTTGGACATAAAATTAATTATATTGTTATTTGGAAACATAGATAGTAGTATAAAGAAATAAGTATATTGTTTGGAAACATGGATAATAGTATATAAAAACAAATATCATGTTTGGAAATATGATAGCAGTCTAAAGAAAGTAATATTAGTTATTTAATGTAGGTTTAACTATAAATTAGAAAGATGTATTTATTTTAAAAACTTAAACAAATATTAGGTCCAACATAATGTTTCTGATTTAATAAGATAGATTACCCGGAACAATATTTTAGATTATTTAATATGTTATAAAACATGTTAATTCTTATTTTCTATAAAATTAATATATTTTCATGTCTAAAATTGTATAAGACATACAAATATAAAATATAAATTTAATACAGTATAATTATCATCAAAATATACAACTACTTATAATATTTCATATCAAATAAATAAATAAAAAAATATTTTAAAAATATTAAAAAATAAATTAGGCAGCCATCTAGATTGTCAGTTAGGCAATTAGACAGTCCAGACTGACAAAAATCAGATTTTTTTGATGGCTTTGACATAAGTTTTAGAATAGGGATCATATGGACAAGAAGAAATGAACGACAAGATGTGGATGAACTTCTGAAAAATAGATACGAAGAAACAAAATGTGAGATATCAATTATTGAAACAAATAATAAAGAGAACAATATCGTACTAATCAGATAATAAACAGTTGGATATGGAATTTCACAATCCCAACACAAAGGACAAGTTATATATCAAAACGGCAATGCATGACTATTACTATGTAACGTTCCATGTGTATTATTCAGCATGATCACAAGGTTATATGCGTTGAATTTGTAGGTGTAGGTACTCTACCACCATAACTTTTTTTTTTTTTTCTAAGAATACGATCGTTTAGAGAAGAACCACCATTAATAGCATTTGTTTCCAGGAAAGGGATCTCCACTTCATCTGCAAAAACCTGTAGGAGGAGGAGAAACAATCTTATTATTATCATTTCAGCAAGGTTTATGCAAAAGAGGCCAGTTGGTTTGTTTTATTATCTAAGCTGTCTCAGTGGATACAACCTTCAGTGACATAAGATCGCTTTTGTTAATCTATTACTTGGCCAATATGCGAACTAAATAATTTCGAAGAGAAAATACAAGCTCTAAGCGTTTATTTTTACACTTAGACAGATATGATATATCAAACACAACACAACTTTGACTATTAAGTGCAATTTCAGTCGAATGCAAGCTGACATGTCGGTGAACGCCTGAAGGACAATGACAAGTCCTTGAGCATCTCAAGTTTCTTGTCGGAGTCATTGATTTAGAGGAGATGGTTACTTTCTTCAAACATCTTCTGCTTCTTAATTTGAATGCTGCTACTTCTTTCTCTTCTTTTCTTCCTTCATATCCTATCCATTCAAGAGTTTCTAAACTCGATGACAGACATTCAGGAACTGAGCTCGGTCATTCCAACAGGGGCGAGTGATTTCACTATTATGGCACTGCAATAAATTGACATTATAAGGACTTGAAAATACCATGGTCACAGACAAAGAAAATTCATGAATTGCATTGACGTGTGTGTTACCTGTTGAAGTTTGAGAGGAAACGTAAATTAGGTGAATCGTTTAGCAAACACATAAGTAGATTCAACTACTGTCTCACATGTGCACATTCTCAAGTGTACAAGACGGTGGAAGACAGTACCAACAAAATATGCATCCTATACATTACATAATTAATAACAAGTACAATGTGTTAGCTAGTCTCAAACAGGTTTGCTCACAAGAATACCCATTCTTCAATAATACTTGATTCTGAAAAGAAAATAAATATGGGATGCACAAGGTCATATATTACAAATAACAACATGTAGATTTAGGCAAATGTTATTCCCTTAGAGTATGGTAAACATGTAAAGATACTCTTTGCTGAAGTAACATAAGTCAGAGTCATCCCAGGAGAACTATGAGCGGCAACAACATCTGCCTTAACAATATTAGGCATTTCATTCTCAGTGAAACAAAATCCAACCGAATCAAAATAAATGCCCAAGTTCTCCAAAGAAGGAGCATCTATCACGCATCCATCTTCACCCTTTATACCTCGTCCTGCTGATTTATACAAAGTGGCGCTCTTGAGAGAAGGAACCTTAACTGTGAAAACATTCACATTGTCATTGATACGTTGTTCCACTACCAAATCTTCAAGAACATGACAACTAGACAAAAGCCTCCTGGCGAACTCTTCACCTGGGTGGCAGAAGTTTTAAGGGCCAGGAAAGAAGGCGAGGTAGAGGAACCATCCATAAGAGTTACACTCTTTAGTTTCAAGGAAACAAGCATTCTAGAGCTTTTTGTATATAAACTCCTTTGAAGTATGACTGGAACTGTACTGGAAGAACAGTCGATCTTGATACTCAGGTCACGCACATAGCGGCACTTAAGAGCAATGGTAATCCATACTCCGATATCAACAGCGAGAGACATCTAGAGACATTTGAGTAAGTTTGAAATGCAAAGTTTCCACTCGTGCCTCATGCAGAACCAAAGACCTTTCTATAAAGAGGGAAAACTTTACAATATCAATATTCTGATAGCTATCATGGTATACAAGTTTTGGCACTGATTTCCAAAGACGCTCCCATCGTTTTGACAAAACCATTGTGGCCAAAGTATCTTTAGTAGTAGGCAGTTTTGACAATAATCTCTAGAGTAGAGCTTCAGGCAAATGACTTATCCTATCCACATGAGCCAACTCCTCTTTTCAAATCCTAATCCCTACAAGGCCTGAATCCCCAAACTAGACAGTAAAGCCTGAAAGCATAGAAAAAAACACAAAAAGTCATAATAAACGAGACAAGGTCAAAGCAAACCCTAGCATAAGAATAAAGTTATGTAGTTCAAAGAAAAATAACAGAGTATACAAACACATAACTGCATCTCATACTGAACTTATATTCTCAAGAAAGCATATAGTTAACGCTCAAAGAGTTGTATAAACCAACACCGGTTAGGCTTTTTGTTCTGTTCGCTATAAATCAGATCTGAAGTAATGAATTACCGATTACTTTGATACTCTTAATTATATGGAGATTCCTGGGAAGTATCAGCTCAGTTCTCCAGCAAATCCAGCGGTTGAAAAAACTGTGAACTGAAGAACAGAATCTAGAAGAAATGTGGAGGTATAAAAAAATTAATTTAGTGTATGAAATGTAAAATGAATCTAATTTTGGCCCATGAGCCCAATTTCGGCCCAAATGTTACTTGGCTATTGTAACTTCCGGTGGATATAAGAGCACCCGCAATGCGGAATTTAAGCAAAAGTCCTTGAGACTAATCCTTAGGTGAATGTTATTAAAATATTAGTATAAGCTATGTTTTCCTTAATAAAAGGTCCTTAGTTATGGCATTTAAGAATCAAATCTTTAATGAGATGGCAGCGTTTGTGGCTTTTCTTTCGCGAGTTAAAAAAAAATGCGTTCATTCGAACGATGGAAAAGAAAAAAAAAACTGTGGAGGCGAAAGGAAACGCGATTCGGCGATCGTCGGTGTCGAAGGTAAATCGGAGACTTTTGATTCATTATTTTCGCATTTGGACCTGATGCATGTTGATTTCATCCGTTTTTACGGTTTGATTATGTCGTTTAAATAGATTTAAGGTTTCAAATTGATTTGGGGATTTTAATCGAATTAGGGTTTTTGTCTGGGTTAGCTATTTTCTTCTTTTAAATTTATTTCTTTGTTGTTATCGATGGGATTAAAGGTTTGGGATTGAGTTAGAAATCGATCAAAGGGTTTTCATCTTGATTTGATTTTTTTTTTTTGAATGACATTCGTCAGGGTTAGCTATATTCTTCTTTTAGTTTCGTTTCTTTGTTGTTATCAACGGGATTAAAGGTTCGGGATTGAGTTAGAAATCTGTCAAAGAGTTTTCGTCTGGATTTGATATTTATTTTTTGTTTTCTGAATGAAATTCGTCTGGGTTTGATTATTTTTGTTTGCAACATGTATCCAGTTTGTAGAAACGATTTCACTTTGGCTATCTTGATTGGTTTCTTTGTTAGCGATATAGTGAATCTAAAATAATTTTTCTTCTTTGAAGTTCTGAAATGGAGGAAGAACAGCGTGATATGAAAGCACACAAAGCATACTACAACATCTTTCATTTCGTTACAGATGCGCAACAGAGGATTCCCAAACTCTGCCTCTGTTTCAGTCACAAAGGAAATAGTATATGAATAGGATATATACGACTACCTCCCTGGGAAAAGATACTTCATCTGCAACGACTACCAGGTTTGAAGTGTTGTGTCTCATATAAAATAAATTTGTTCTTCCATTTTATTGTGAAGTTTGACAAAGCTTTTTATGTTTTGGCAGAGTGACGGCCGGTTGTATTTCAGACAACCATGGGTTATAGGTTGCAACAAGAGGTTGAGAGGCTCAAAGTACGGGTTCGCGAACATGAAAACCTTCTGAGAGAGTGCCAGGAACTTAAGGTGAGTTTATTGGTACATCTTGAGATTAATTTGGTGTTAATATTTTTAACTTGTGTACTTGCTTAATAGGTTTACATAGTTTAACCTTTTATGTATTTATATAGTATAATTGGTACATCTTGAGATTACTTTGGTGTTAATATTTTAACTTGTGTACTTGCTTGTTATCCAGAATAACTATGATTTTATATTCTATATCATGACTATTGATTGGTTTCTTTGATGTCTGTTCAGGCGCAGGTGATGATGATGGTTATGCGTGTGGCTGAACTTGAGAGAGCTCTATGAGGTTAGTGTATAAACTAACCCGTCTTCTCTTTCTTGTTTGAAATTTTTTATTCTCTAGTTCAAACTTACCAGTTTGAATTCAAACAGAATTCAAAATTTTTTACTCTCCAGTCAATTTCTTTGTAGTTAGAAAACAATAACGTCTCTTTTAACTTGTCTACTTTGTACTTTGAAACTATAGCTGGTAAACTTCATTAACTTGTGTACCTTAGTTTTTATGTCCATTAAATTGTGTCTAACTACTTTTTTTAGAGCTGGTAAACTTCATTAAATGGCTCGTAGCTGTTCTGATAAGACGGTTTTCTACTAGGTTCAATAGAATTGAATATAGAATCCCTTATTTAATCCTCTTCGTTTCTACGAGAGAAACACAAAGAATTCTTTCTAAATGGCAAACTTCTCTAGTTTTGTTAACCTCTTAGCCAGCCAATGGTCAGTTGACCTTGACTCAGCGTCACCTCTTTCGTTTAGTAGCCAATGTCCTGATGAGTGTAGTATCAAAGAAAGGAGAAAATGATCACCCTTGGAGGATAAAATCCTAATTGGTGCTTGGCTCAACACCAACAAAGATTCGATAGTGGGTAATGAGCAGAAAGCTGGTGCCTTCTGTAAGAGGATTGTAGAGTACTACGACTCCAGTCTTCTTTTGGTTGGGACAACCCCAAGAGAACTAGGGCAATGTAAGCAAAGATGGGCTAGGATCAATGATTTGGTCTTTAAGTTTGCTGGCTGCTACGAGACGGCACTGAGGGAGTAAAGAAGAGGGCAAAAGGAGAACGATGAGATGAAGGCTGCGTTGGATATCTTCCACAGTAACCAGAACATTAAATTTAACTTGGAACACCTGTGGATGGAGCTTAGGTGTGATGTGAAATGGTGCTCTACCTATATGGAGAACGACACTGTTAAAGATAAGCGCAAACAAGTTCCAGCGGCAGAAGATAGACCAATAGGGGTTAAGGCTGCTAAGGCTGGTTGTAAAAAAAAAAGTGGAAAAGAAGAAGAATTAGCAAAGATAGAAGGACTGTTGGAGATCAAAAAGCAAATCTCTAGACAAAATGTGCTAGAAAGTTTGCTTGCAAAGACCGAACCACTCTTATGCGAACATGTATCATACTGCCATAATATGATAGAAGAAAATGAACGCACTGGATACACTAAATATGATACATCCGAGTTTGAAGAAGAAGACTCGAGTAGAAGTTCACAGGTGGATATGTCATATTCTATTGGCATGCCTTCAAATCTCGGTAATATGCTTGGCCTACAGAATCATGTTCGTGATAGGCGTATACATGGTCAATTGAAAAATATTTGGAACAAGTTTAGTAATGTTCAAGATATTTAATTATTGTATATTTACATTTAATCATTCAATAAATAAAAATAAATAAATTTAATTTTTTTTACAAATTCAATAATTTTTAATTTCTAAGATTCAATTTAAAAAAAAATTTGTAAGGACTCCATAGTGGATAACACCATAGGACATACAATTATGATTAGAATCTTTAACTATTCCAAACAATATTATTATTCTATTTTTAAGGATTATAATGGTGGGTAATATTATTGGAGTTGCTCTAAGCTGAGAGACGAATGGTTCTTAATGACTTCCTACAAATAAAGAAGAAAATGAGAAATGGAAACACAAAGTGGAAGAAGCTGCAAATGTCATATTCCTCGGAAGTGAGAACAGATTATGTATTTATATGCAATAAAAAATGTTATAATGATTGTTTGACCCAAAAAAAAAAGGATTGTGTCATGTTTCTCCTCCATAAGCTTCTCACACTCATGGTTGAAATGTTTTTGTACATGCGAAAGATTTTTGGAGGGACAGATGCATACAACACATATATGTGAAGAGCAAAAAAACTTAGATAATATTTAGGCTTGAAAACAACGTGATTTTGTAGATAATATTTTGCAAACACTTTATTAAAAACTTAAACAAAATCTAAATAAAAATTTATACGAGTGACACAAAAAAGTTTTAATAAATTATTGACCATTATTTTTAGAAAAGATTACATAAATTCAAAACACAAAAAATGATCCTAGTTCAGAATTATTAAAAAATTAAAAAAAAACTGACCATAAAATAGTCATAATTATTAGAAAACAAAATAAACCCTAAATGCTAGAAAATAGCTTTAGTTTCATGCTGCCCAATCCACTTTTCCCGTTTTTCTTGTTAGAAAGTTGATCTTCTCAACTTCATTTTGCAGAGACATAAAAATTTGACGGCCACTTTCTTTGGAAGAAAGATAATCAATCGCAGCCCAATACAACTCCCTCTCATGATTGAGAATAGTTATCTTTAAGAGTTCATGCATACACACTGCACAACTAAATGGATTTAGAGATTCAAATGTCTCTGAGCCACCTTTCCAAAATTTTCCTTGGTCTTCAATAGTGGTTGTGAGACGTCTCATTTATCTAGATTTGCTTGTTTACGAGAAGCTACAGCTTTGCTTTTTCCATGTGGTCCTGATTTTCCAATCAGTCCAAGTGGTTCCACCTCATCTAATTCTACCACTTGTGGAAATGGGCTTGGTGGATCGCGAAGTAACTGACTTGGTCCCGCACGAGGTTGTCATCCTTCATTGATTGATACTGTGATTCGAGCATAAAGACAATCAAGAAGAGATATATCTTTAATAGGATGTGTTTGCAATTTGGATACTTCTGAACAAATCTACAAAACAAAATATAAATACTTAAATGATTAATTATATTTTAGTAATATTATGTACATTCATTATATATATATATTTAAAAGTATGAAATTAATTTAATAATAAAATACTTACTCTTATTAGTTCATTCCACCAATCTGAGCCCATGTCGATTTCTCCAGCTTCATTAAATCCCAAACCAGTAGCATTTCGGGTGATGCGTTTGTAAACATCATACTGCCTTTTTAAATGATCTATGCGGTGTTAGAATATTTTACATGGGAGATCTAAACCAAAAAGTTTCAGGAATTCGGCCCGAACACTTTGTCTACCAATTTCGTCAAGACATGTACTTTTCCAATGACCTTTGTCATTTTGATTATTGCATAATTGCAATAATTCATGACTCAGTTTGGGAGTCCACACGAATTTTTGCTAAATAGTAAAAATACATAAAAACAAATTATTTATGTTACCATATAACAAAATATAAACGTCAAACCATAGTTAAAAAGTCAAACAAGAATCTCACCTCAACATTTGGTGTTTGCGTGGGAATTCGTGTTTGATCTGCATGATTCCTCTACAAATAAGTTGATAATGATATTAATTGCACGTATGAGAAAATAACGATCAAGTATGGTAGAAGTTTTACCTTTTC